CTGGGGTCCCGTGGACCCCCACTCCAAGTTGCCTCTCCTCAGAGCCTCCCTGTGGGGGCTGGGGCAGAGCCCGTGATGAGGGCAGGTGAGTGGGCTCTTCAGCTGGACATAGGCCTCTCCTCAGTCCTCCACGAGGGGACACTTAGATGGAGTTCCTGAAGCCCACTCAGGGGAATCCACGCACCAGCCCACGCCACCTGAGACCCTCAGTTTACATCTTCAGAGAACTTTGTCCCTCACAAGCCACATTCTGAGCCACGGAGTGGTGATCCTCCCCAGGGTCCTGGGGACTTGCCCTGTGGCGTGGCCAGGTGTGCAGAGACCCAGAAAGGACCAGGTCACAGGGGCAGGCAGCACAAAGGCACCAGAGTAGCCAGGGTTGGCCTGCTGCGAGGGCCTCGAGCCCTGGCACCCCACAGGTTGGCCCTGCTGGGGAGGCGCTGCGCCCACCTGCCTTCCTGACACCAGCACCAGGAGCTGGGCCAGTGCCGCTTGCTCTGAGCCCTGCCAGCTCCCCTGAGCAGCAGGGCCTGCATCCCTCCCACCACCCAGCCTGCTGCTGCACGGCCCTGCGTGAATGACCCTCTGCGTCCCTCCACGTGTGCAGTGGACCGTCAGGCGGGAAGGGACCCTCACTGTGTCCAGTGCTGGAGCACATTTCTGCGGCGGTTCCTGGGCCCTGTAAGTGGAGCTCACTTCCTCCCCCTGCTGGAGGTCACTGGACTGGAGACGGACAGGCTGCTCTGCTGCCGGCCAGCGCTGATGGCCAAGGCCTGTGATTCAGCTCCCAGCGAGCAGAGTGAAGTCCCCGCTGCAGAAGGGCCTGGAGCCGAGGCCAGGTGGGCTGGTGGCCTGCGGTGGTGGACGCTTATTTTCATTCTGAAATTTCCGACTGGCTTTCAAAATAATAATTTAAAAAACAATTGTAGGTATTTCATGAAAAGGTCCCTCACGGCTCTCTCTGCCGAGTGGCCTTCCAGTACATGGTGCATGCTTTCTTATGGCTCCCAGGTGTGGCCTGCAGCTGGCTCTGCTCTGGGCAGGCATGGCGCCCACGTCCTTAGGGACCGTCATCTGCCCACTTGCTGGCTTGCAGCTTGGTGTGGGGCAGGTGATGGCGAGGCCTGGCTCAGAGCCCTCGATGCAGAATGGCCACACCAGTACCTGTGACCCTACAGCCTAGATCTACTTGGGCTGTCCCAGGCCTGTGTGGAGTGTGCTGCCCTCTGTCCTGCTCCTGTGACCCCCAGTGACCCTGGGAACAGAGGGAGGAAGGGTCCTTGTCCTCACCCTCAGGACCAAATCTCAGGGAGGGGGCTCCAGGGACACCTGGATGAGCCCAGCCCTCTACTGCAGTCTCCATAAGAAGACCYTGTGGAGTGTCTCTTCACACAGTGCAGAGACCCTCGGGCGCCAGGAGACCCTGCAGCTGCACGTGGACATGTGGGGATGCCTCCCATGACGGCTGTCAGTAGCGGGAAGGAGGGTGTAAGGGCCAACTCCTTCCTGGGTCTCCCTAGATGGCTGCCAGGTGCCCGCATGATATTAGTCCCCGTCTTCTTCTAAGGACAGCTAAGGCAGCCATGTCTCCCACAAACTCTTCTTGCAGGCGCTTGCCCCAGCAGGAGGGGCTTCCTGTAGCCTGTGTGCGCTGCCCTGGGACTCTGCAGCACCGTGCTCAGGGCTGCTGCCTGGCCCTGGAGCGCATGTCAGTGAGGCAGAGGCAGGAGGTGCTGTTTGCCTGGTTTTCTTTCTTTGCCCTGCTCTGAGGATCAAGCCTCCACCTCCGAGGACCAAGCCTCCGCCTCCTAAGACCAAGCCTCTGCCTCTGAGGACTAAGCCTCCGCCTCTGAGGACCAAGCATCTGTCTCCTAGGACCAAGCCTCGGCCTCCGAAGACCAAGCCTCCACCTCCAAGGACCAAGCCTCTGCCTCCGAGGACCAAGTCCCGGCCTCCTAGCACCAAGTCCCTGCCTCCTAGAACCAAGCCTCCGCCTCCCAGGACCAAGCCTCTGCCTCCCAGGACCAAGCCTCCACTTCCCAGGACCAAGCATCCACCTCGCCTCCTAGGACCAAGCCTCTGCCTCCTAGGACCAAGCCTCCGCCTCCGAGGACCAAGCATCCACCTCCTAGGACCAAGCCCCCGCCTCCAAGGACCAAGCCTCCACCTCCCAGGACCAAGCCTCTGTCTCCGAGGACCAAGCCTCTGCTTCCGAGGACCAAGCCTCCGCCTCCAAGGAAAAGCCTCCACCCTCTAGGACCAAGCCCCCACCTCCTCCGAGGACCAAGCCTCCTCCTCCTAGGTGCTTCAGTCAGAAAGGCCCGGAATGCAGGGAGCAGAGCAATGCAGCATGGAACAGGACAGCAGAGGGAGAAGGCTGTGTGAACGCAGACRGGTGGGAGGTGTTGGAGCTGCGACCTGCGGCCCGTCCTCTGCACTGTGGTTGGCAAGTGCCCTCAGGGGACAGAACATCAGGGGATCCTGGGGGCCAGGCAGGCGAGGCGCGGGGYACATGCGGATCGCTCCAGGTTTGGCCGCCCTGAGTCCCCAGTGTTGAGGTGCTCTCCTGGCTGGGCTCCACCTCTGCACGTCTGCACCTTTGCACGTCTGCACCTTCTGTCCCCACAGCCTGCGCTGGCGCTGGGCAGGGCCGGGCGCTGTGGAGCTCTGCTGTTWCTGGGAGCGCATGTGTGCCCTTCCCTGGGAGGCAGGTGGCCTCGCCTTCTCGGCTGTGTGGCCTCGCGTGTCAGCACCTGGAGCCCAGGTCTGTGTGTCAGCCCATTCTGATTCTCCAGGGGACAGTCCTCAGGAGGTAGTGTCCTCTGGGCAGCGTCCCCACACAAGCCACGTGTTTTCTGAGAATGGCTGGCTGCCTGTGCCCTACAGCTGGACAGTGGTGTTGACCTGCCGCCTGCTGGAATGCTGGCCTGGGGCCTGGTGTCAGGGCCTCCCCGGCTCAGCGCTCCCAGAGGAYCCGGCCAGGCGGAGAGCCCCTGAGGGAACCCTGTGGGGAAGAGTCGAGGGGTCCTGCAGCACTGGGCTCTTCCCCTGTCCTGGGCCAGGAGTCCTTGGGACAGCCCTCTTGCCCTTTAGGGCCCTACCTGCAGCTTTCTTCCTGGGCCCTCAAATATTGGCCTGGGGGAGGGGACAATCCAGTTGCCCTTAACATAGCTCAGAAATCCCGAGAAAGAGCGTTTCCAGGGCCAGTGCGATAGCAGATGATCTGGCTTTGCATCGGCCAATTGCACTGTCCAGCACATGTCTGTCATTGCCTAGTGCCACTGGTTTTCGTCTTCCCCTTTGTCACTGTGCATTTCTGGGTGACTTATCACCTTGGGAGGTCATTGGAAAAACACAGGGCACAGGAAAATGCAAGTTAAACCTGGTATCCAAGGTCCTCACGACGGGTCTGGGTTCGAGCTCAGCCTGTGCTGGGCTGCAGTGTGCCTCTGGGTCCGGTGCTGGTGTGTGTGCGGCTCCTTRGAAACCACAGCCACGGCCATGTCCGGATGAGGAGGGAGGTTTAGGCTCAGGGGTGAGAGAAACTGCCCAGAAACCCTGAAGGCCGGCAGTCGCCCAGACAGACCCGACACCGGGCTGCAGGCTGGGGCTGTGGAGCGACTGCCGCGTCTGCTGCCAGAGAGACCACAGCCTGGGGTCACCGGCTGCCTTCCATTCCTGCCCTGGCAGCCCTACCAGCTCCGTCCCTCTGCAGCGTGGGGTGGATGCCGCGGCTCAGCTGTCTTGCTTGGCGTTATCAAGGTGGTCACGAATCACTGAAGTCTGTCTGAATGTCACTTTGGTGCTTCCTGAGCATTCACGGAACTTACCTGCCTGTGCCCAGCAGGTGCTGGGGTCATGGTGTTGGGCAGTCTGGTGGCTCTGCAGAGGACGGGGACGAACATCCTCAAGTGCAGGAATCTAGGGTGCGTTTCCAGGAGGGAGAGCACAGATGGTCTCCTCTCGGGTGGGTCAGAGGATTGACCCGAGATGATCAGGGGGCACCACTGAGAGGTCTGTCTCTGGGTGAGGCACTGGGGTCTCGCACCCTGTGAGCTCCAGATTCATCATTTCCTCGGACTCCCCTAGCCGTGCTTCTTGAAGACCCTCAGAAGTTCTCTGGCCACTTGGGCACCAGTGCAGTGCCACCTGCATGGACAGCCCACCCTGTGGTTTGAGCCCACGCTGGGTGCTCTCAGGCTTGGCCTTCTGTGTGCAGAGATGCCCTTCACAGCCTGTCCTGCTGTGGGCTGGCCCGGTCCTTGCAGAGCCGTGTGGCAGGTGCTCCTGCCCAGCCACCCTGTGGAGATGCCCTTGGCCTGCTGTGTGCGTGGCACAGGGCTCGCCATGCCTGGAAGGGTCTGGGTGTGGGTTCTGTGGCCAGCACCCTGTGCCTCAACTCCAGTTTCCCTTTGGAGAGCCTGTCCTTGATTCTGACAGATGTTCCTTGGCCACAGGAGACCCAGCTTCTCACTTCTCTGCCCCAGTCTTCTCTGCCCAGCAGCCAATTAGCAGTACATTAGCGATGTCAGCATGTTGGCTGACACCACAGTTCAGTGCCCAGAGAGCATGCTGGGAGGGCTGCGCGGGGCCCAGGCAACACAGGGCTTCTTGCCGCGGTGCACTGATGGTCCTGGGGTTGGCGAGGGCTTCCTGGGGGCTGTCTGCTGAGTGGGTTCTCTCGCCCTCCCCAGCAGCCCTCTGAGCCATGTGCTGATCTGAGCCCTAGGAAGGGAAACTGGGGCTCTGGAAGGAGGGCCCCCTGCCTGAGTCATGGCTGGTAAGGACTCGTGCAGTGCTCGCTCCATGGGCCAGGCCACTGCAGGCCTGGGCTCAGGCCTAGCTGCTCTTTCCCTGGGACCCTATCTGTCTGCAGAGTGCCTGTTCACGGCCCTGTCCCACTACAGCTGGAGACCTTGGTCCTGTCAGAGTGGTCCTGGGGAGGGAGGGGCTCGGAGCTCCGCCCCAGGTGTGGTGCTGAGTAGCGCTTGGCCCTCCAGGTGTGCATTGTGCAGAAGCGGGACACGGAGAAGATGTATGCCATGAAGTACATGAACAAGCAGCAGTGCATTGAGCGCGACGAGGTGCGCAACGTCTTCCGGGAGCTGGAGATCCTGCAGGAGATCGAGCACGTCTTCCTGGTGAACCTCTGGTGAGCGCCCAGGGCCTGCAGGGCCGCCTGGGCAGAGGGACTGCCAGGGCTGGATACCGTCCACATCCTCTTCTGCAGAGTGCCCTCCCTGCTGCTCCCTGGCCTTGAGCCTCTGGATCCTCCATACCTCCCCTCCCAACCATCTCGCCTTCCTCTGCCCAGGGCCATGGGAGGCCAGGGGCCTGGGCACACTGGGCCTGCTGGGAGCCCAGAGCTTCCAACAGTGGGGATGTGCTTCCCCTAGGTGTCTCRCACTCAAGTGGGGCCTGGTGTCAGGGGTTGACCTTGAGTTCCTGGCAAACCTGCAKGCCCTGGGGAGTTTCACCCCCCTCTCTCCCCCAGAGCAGGGGTCCTCCCTGACCCAGGGGTCCTCTCCATGGTGGGTCTGCTCTGTGATGTTCTCTCATATAGGTGCAAACAGTCCATGGAGCACATGGGGGAGCCCTGGCCAAGCAGCCTCTGGAAGGTTTAGGAGCCCCTCTCCCAAGGCCACTTATAGGGAGAGGCAGCCCAACTCGTGCTAGGGATGAGGGAGGGCAGGTGTGTTCCTCTTGAGGTGGACCTGGGCAGCTCTTAGGGAGTAGCCAGAGCTCAGGTGCTTGCCTGGCCCCCCACAGTAGGGTGAGAGACTTCAAAGTGGGCAGCAGCCCTCCCCAGGGTCTGCACGACATGGCTCAGGAGCAGTGTCATGAGGCTCTGCTCCATAGTGACAGGGTGAGTGCCTGGACAGGCAGCTGGGGGAGAGGGAGTGCTGACCTCAGGCCCCAGGCTGCCCAGGCTGGTTTCCAGGCAGGAGAGGGGCTGGTGGGCCTGTCCACATCCTTGTGGTCATGGTCTGTCCTGTTTCAGCATCCCAGGGCCTAGGCCTAAAGGTAGGGGACACAAGCACCAAGTGCCGTTAAGCCTGCCCTTCACCTGTGGCCACRCAGGACTTCTTGTGAAGGGAAGGACCTCAGATCTCCCTCCTCTGTGGCCCTGGGGCCCTCCATCTCTGAGAGCAGTGTTGCCTAGTGGTCAGGAGCACAGGCTGCTGGGTTGGATCCTCCTCCCCYTGCCAAGGACAGCACACCTAACCTCCCTGTTCTGTTTACCTGTGCGAAGGGGGTCCAGTGGTGCTGTGCTGCCTTCTGGAGCGTCTGTGTGGGCGGAGCTCCAGTCTGTGTGGGCGGAGCTTGAGCAGGAGGCCTCCAGTCACCCTAGGCTTCCACATATCTTCACTCCGGCTGCAGAACTCCCCGCCCACCGCCAGCTGCTGGGGTGGCCCACTATCATAGGGCCACACGGGCAGGAGCATCGTGGCCTAGCCTCCAGTTGGGGCCGCAGGCTCTTATTCACGGCTTTCTAGGACCCTGGGCCCTTTCTGTAGCCTGATGTCCTGATCGCATTGGTCTGGGCTCTCTACCTGGGCTCCCTTCCCTAAACCCCAATCTGTACCTCCTCCTTGAGGTCACCCTCCACTGAGGATGAAGACAGGATGGCTTATGGAGGGCAGTAGAGGGACAAGGCATAAAAAATGAGTTCCTTGTGATTTTTTTCTTGAAAAAATCCAGTTCTTTAAATGTTACATCTGAGAGTTCTCAAAAGAAATTACAAAGCAGAAGGAGGACTGTAAAGTGTTGCTTAGCTACTACCATCATCATCACCACCATCGCCATCACCACCATCACCATCACCACCATCACCATCATCATCACCACCATCGCCATCATACCCTCACCACCATCATCACTATTACCACCATAACCACTATCACCATCACCACCATCACCATTACCACCATAACCACCATTACCATCACCATTGCCATCACCACCATCACTATTATCACCACCATCACCATTACCACCATAACCACCATTGCCATCACCATTGCCATCACCACCATCACTATTATCACCACCACCATCACCACCATCATATTATCATCACCATCACCACCATCACCATCATACCATCAACACCATCACCATCATCATCACCATCACCACCCTCATCATCATCACCATCACCCTCACCATGGCAGTTGGTGATTAAATACAGTCCTTCCATCAGCACCACACCAAGGATTCACCTGCACTCTCTCATTTCTTCTTTAACAGCCCTCCAAGGCAGATGTTTCCATCTCGATTTTACAAAATAAACCAGGGCAGCCTGAAATAACCCAGGGACAGACCCTGTGTTTCTGCTCCCCCTTTGTCACTTAGAGACATTTCTGGGCCCTTGCTGGGCCACCTCCAGGACAGGCTGTTCTGTCTTTCCCCGGGATCTCAGCTCAGAGCAGCTCTGAGCAGGGGCAGGACTGGTGACGGTGGCAGTGGTGTAGGGCTGTGGTCCTCAGGGTGTGCACGACAGGTGTGGCAGTAGGCGAGACTCTGCTCCCCAGCCATGCACATGCCAAGTCCTCCCTCCTGCCACAGGTACTCCTTCCAGGATGAGGAGGACATGTTCATGGTGGTGGACCTGCTTCTAGGTGGGGACCTGCGCTACCACCTGCAGCAGAACGTCCAGTTCTCTGAGGACACGGTGAAGCTGTATGTCTGTGAGATGGCGCTGGCCCTTGACTACCTGCGCAGTCAGCACATCATCCACAGGTGCATGTGCCTGATGGGGTGGGCCCTCCTCGGTTAGGTGGGGCGTCTGCACTCCAGCAGGACTGGTCTAGCTCCTCTGCCTACCCTTGTCTGAGGACCTGTCCCCAGCGATTGTGTCTGAGCCCATCAGTGCCACCTCCAAGCTCATCTCCTCCTTGTGCTGCTGCTGCTGCTGAGCACCTGGGGGTGGACCCTGTCCAAGCAGGTCCACTTGAGACTGGACACAGAAGGCCATTAGTCCTCACAGATGGGCCATAGGACCTGCCACATTGTGGTGGCCATCACTGGTCTGTTTAACTACAGGCATTGTGCCATGGCCTAGCAGATGCCCCTGGCCCCTCTACCATGTCCTGGGGCAGTTCAAGTCCATTCTGACATTGACTTAACACAGGTGAAATAAAGGCAGCCACAGAGCAGAATGAAAAGATCTTTGGTGGAGTATAAATGCAGCCCTGATCTCTGCCTCTCTGCCCTCAGCAATGCCACTGTGTGTCATGATTCAGGTACCCCACAATCACCAGGTACCCCACAATCACTGTGTCCCTGGAAATCAGGGCGGGGTGAGGCCCGAGGCAAATGTGGGAGAGACAGACCTGATCCAGCACTTCTGTGTAGCCCTGGGGCTCCAGGGGGCCAGCCTGGGATCATGGGCTCAGGCTGCAGGGCTTGTCCTGTCTAGACTAGATGGCCAGGTGCTGGTGGCTCCCCTACAGCAGGCTTCCTTGCCAGCAGGGGGCCTCTCTGCCCCCCTCGCCAGAGCCCTTAGGCCCTAGTGTTTCCCCAAGGACCAAGCCAATCCGGTGCCCTAGGCTCTGCCAGGGGCAGAAGTGGTCTGGGCTCAGGACTTGCCCCATCTCTGTCCTTCAGGGACGTCAAGCCTGACAACATCCTGCTGGATGAGCAAGGTGAGCCGGGAGCCTGGGACGGCGGAGGAGGTGGTGGGTGTCCCGCCCATCAGGACAGGCCCCCAGTCCTGGGCAGTCACACGGGGGCACTTCTTGCAGGGCACGCWCACCTGACCGACTTCAACATCGCCACCATCATAAAGGATGGCGAGAGGGCGACGGCCTTAGCTGGCACCAAGCCCTACATGGGTAAGCCCAGGCMGCTCAGCCCCAAGTCTAGCCCTGCCCCTGGCCCCAGTCCTCACTCCCACCCTGTGGGCCTGCAGGACTGGGCTTGTGCCCTGGCCCTCAAGTCCCAGCATGGTGATGGGGCAGGCCTGACAGATGTCCCAGTGGCTGGTGCACAGGGGTTTGAGGGGTGCAGGACAGCAGTGGAACACGAGGACCAGATGGCCCCTGTCACACCTGGGGTGGGCCCTGGAGGGAGCAGGGTGGGCTGACTCAGCCTGGCTGGGCTAAGGCAGAAGGGAGCTGGCTGTCCTGGGTGGGAAGGGGAAGGGGCAGGGACCACTGGGGTGGGCCTTCCTGTTCACCCCTGGACACAGCCTGTTCTTGAGACCTGTGAGGTACCCAAGTGTCCGGGTGGCCAACCCCTCAACAGCTCAGCTGTTCTCTCCCTCTCTGTCGGAAAGCTCCGGAGATCTTCCACTCCTTCGTCAATGGTGGGACTGGCTATTCCTTCGAGGTGGACTGGTGGTCAGTGGGGGTGATGGCCTACGAGCTGCTGCGAGGATGGGTAAGGAGCCCTGTGCCCCTGCCTGGCCCCTGCCCCCAGCTGGCTGCTCCCTGCCATGGGGTGCCCCAAGAGTCAGGGAGGGACGAGGGGACAGGACAGAGTGTCCAGCAGGGGCTGCCTCCTCGGAACTCACTGCAAGCAAGGCTCCTGTTGGGCCTGTGCTCCTCCCCCAGGGACCACGGCCAGCCTGGGGCCTGGAGGCTGCTGCTGCCCTGGGCCTTGTACTGCCCTCTCGAGCCCCTCCTGGGGGCACCATACCCRCTCAGCCACCCCATGGGACCCACCTTGAGGAAGCAGCCCCTCCTGGTCCTTTAGGTCCTCTGGGGGGGGGTGCTTCCTGTCCAGATGGGCTTTGGGGCYGAGATGCAGGGTTCACCCAGACGTAGGCTCCTGTCCCGGCTCTGACAGTGGAAGCCGTGCCCAGGCTTTGCAGGCACCTGGGCTGGGGGCGGGGCTCTGGGATGCCGGGGGTGGGGCTCTGGGGTGCTGGCACTGGTGCCTGGCACTGTCCTGGGTGTCCTGGGGTGAGCACACCTGGCGCAGTGCCTCCTGCCCACAGCGGCCCTATGACATCCACTCGAGCAACGCCGTGGAGTCGCTGGTGCAGCTGTTCAGCACCGTGAGTGTCCAGTACGCACCCACCTGGTCCAAGGAGATGGTGGCCCTGCTTCGGAAGGTGAGCCCCACCTCCTCTGCACCCACCAGGATGYGCCCCTCCATGCCCTCTGAGCCCGGGGCACACACCCCATCACCAGCACTGTGCCCTGGCCCCCATGGTGGCTCTTAGGTCCCAGCTCAGGAAAGCCAGGCTGGTTCCTGGAAGACTCCAGGTCACCTGTGCACCTCTCAGGGCTGAGCTCTGTCTACAGCAGCAGAGGGGACGTCAGCCTGCAGGGACACAGGGCCATGCTGTGGCCTCAGTAGTACCTACCCCATGGACCAGGCTGGACTAGGAGCTGTTCCTCGCTCAGAGAACCATTCCTTAAGTGTCTGGTGCTTCCAAAAAGAGCAGAGTCAGAGCCTAACCCAGGGTCAGGACAGGGTCTGGCTCCTGGCTGGGCTGGAGGCGCCTCGCTGTCAGATCCCTGCTGCCCTGGCCCCTTGGGGCCTGGAGAGTGTGTACAGGTGGGAGGGGCTTGCATTAGTGACTGTCCACCTGGTACCTGCCATTGCAGGGAGAGTGTTAGCTGGGCCTCTGCTGCCACCTGCTGGTCTCCTGTCAGCATGCCCTGAAGATCCTGCCCTGGGGTGCCAGGGCACCCAGGTCAAACTGTGCCTGGGACCACATGGCTTTGCTGACCGAGATTCTTTTCCTGAAATCAGTGCCACCTTTCCTGTGTGCCCCTGGAGATTTGGATTTCTGAACTCAGGCCTAGCAGGCACCCCCACCCCTCCCAGGACCCTGGCCTGGGACAGGTGGCCCCTCCTCGGTGGGGTGGGCTCTGGGTCCTGGCTGGCGGGCTGCCCGTCTGACGGGAGCCTCCTTGCAGCTTCTCACCGTCAACCCCGAGCACCGGTTCTCCAGCCTCCAGGACATGCAGGCAGCCCCGTGGCTGGCCAACGTGCCGTGGGATGAGCTGAGYGAGAAGAAGGTGGAGCCGGGATTCGTGCCCAACGTAAGCAAGCCTGTGCTCAGCTGGGCCGCAGGGCCAGGCGGAGGGCCAGGCTCAGTGCCCCGTCCCTCCACAGAAGGGCCGCCTGCACTGCGACCCCACCTTTGAGCTGGAGGAGATGATCCTGGAGTCGCGGCCCCTGCACAAGAAGAAGAAGCGGCTGGCCAAGAACAGATCTCGGGACGGCAGCAGGGACAGCTCCCAGTCAGTGAGTGGCRGGCTCGCCGCGGGGTGCCCTCCACTGCCCGTGCTCGGCACGCAGAGCCCCCTGCACCCTGTTCTGCAGGCATCAGGACGGGACACGCATGGGCAGGTCCAGTGGGTGGTCCTTCTGCAGACCTGGGAAGGCCTGAGGCCCTCCTTCAGCCTCCCAGCACCCTGTCCCCCCACTCACACAGCTTTCCTGAGCCCCTTGCTCCTTCTGAGATGGGCCACGCAGTGGCCACTGTCAGTGCTGGCTGTGAGCATGGTGGGACATGCGMGGGAAGTCCTCCACACCACGCCCAGGCGCATTGCTGACCAGGCGCAGTGGTGTCCAGGCGCGTCCGTGCCCGGTGCGTTAGTGTCTGGGGCTGCCGTGACACGCCACATGACCATACCCCAGTGGCCGAGACAACAACAGCATTTTGTGTCATGGTTCTGGAGACCCAAGTCCAAAATCAGGGTGTGGGCAAAGCTGTGCGGGGAGGACGCCCTTTCCTGCCCTCGCGGCTGCCGGGTGGCTGTCAATCCTGAGCCTTCCTGGGCTGGGGACAAACYACCGCAGTCTGCCCCCCTGGCTACAAGGACCCAGTTGTGTTTAGGGCCCACTGTACCCTGCCCTGCCCTCATCCTAGGTGGACACCTGTGGACACCTGTATCTGAGTTAAGTCACCTTCATAGGTGGCAGGGTTAGGTCAGGAACAGGTTTCTTGTTGCGGGGGGGGGGGGTCGCAGTTCAGCCCATAACCCGGGGTAGAGCTTGTGTGCACAGAAGAGCAGCTGTGGCTGTGAGTTGGAATCACTGTCCTCCTGCCCCTGAGTCTGTGTGAGCCTGTGGGGGACACTCAGGGGTGGCCCAGGCCTGGTGAGCCCTTGTCCTGGGTAGCAGATGGGCATGACTGACACGGGGTGCAGGGCCGGTGTCATCTCCGGGGTGCGGAAGTTTCTCRTGGAACACTGGCCCATCCTCTGTCCCCCTGTCCTGCTGATGGCGCCCTGGAGCTGCAGGTGAGGCGCTAGTCACCAGGTGGTCGGAGGTTCTCCCTTGGAATGGTCTGGCTCCACTTAGGAGGGCACCTCCAGGTCAAGGCCTTGGGGTGCGGGAGCTGCCCCAGGTGGACGGGTCTTCATGAGGAGCCCAGGGCGGGCAGTGAGCAGAGTCCAGAGGGCCACGCCAACCTCGGGCAGATGCTGTGGAAGGGAACAGGTGGTGGGGGCCTGGGCCTTGTGCGGGGTCCGTTGTGGGAGTGTGGCTGGAGGGTGGACGGTGCTGAGAGGTGCCACTGAGGGGACCCAGTGCTGTTCGGGAAGATGAAGAACCTCGAGCCTGGGCGGTTTTACTGGGCAGTTTTCCTTTGATGCAGCTCACACACCGCACAGTCCACCCGCTGGCGTGTCCAGTTCCGTGGTTGCTGCGTTTTCTTGGGGTCTGCCCACCACCGCAGCAGGTGTCAGAACTTCTCCACCAGACAGAGTGTCTCCCAGTGCCACCCCTTGCAGGTCCTGGTGTCCCCAGGCTGCTCTCTGCCTCTGGTGAGCGGCTCTCGTGAAGCTGGGCAGCTCGTGGTCTTTCGAGGTCGGGTCTTWCACGTGGCACGGAGACCTCAGTTCAGCCCCGCTTTTCCACACGTCATTCTGCATCTCTCTGTCGCTGGACGTCACATCTTATCTATGGGTGGATCGCAGTTCATGTGCCCGTTCGGCCGCTGGTGGGTGTCTAGGGGTTCCCGTGAACCGTGCTGCTCTGAACACACGTGTGCAAGTCCTCAAGTGCTCGCCTTCCCGGGTTGTGCCCAGGAGTGACGCTGTCGGGCCACCCGACACTGCCGTGCCTCAGGCCTCAGAAACCACCACGCTGCCCCACGGCTGCACCGTTCTGATTCCTGGTGGCAGCGTGAGGCTCCACTCCTCACCCTGCTCTGGGTTGTCGCTTTAGGCGTGGTGCTGTGGCGYTGGCAGTGGGTGGCAGCTGGTTAGATCTGGTCCCCGATCAGCAGCGTCTCCTCGGGGTTCCTTGGACATTTCCCCCAGGAGGCGTCTCCGGGTTCCTGTTAAAGGGGGTTTTCTCCTGGAGGCCACCCGACGGCTCCCCTTACCTGGTGTATTTCCGACCACTCACAGCGGGACGGGCGGAGCGCTGAACTCCTGCCTGCCGTGTTTCTTTCTGTGGTCCGTGGCTTTCTTGTGCCTGTCCCCCCTTGTCCCTCTCGGTCTGCCCTCTCTGGTTTTCATGAAGCACTTGACACGATTCTGCTTCACCTTCTCCCTTCKTGCGTCGGTTTACTTCTTTTACAAATGTGGTAGTGGTTGCAGAATTTGCAAAGCACCGTTAGCTCCCTTTGGCCTCCAAGAAGCACCGCTCCCACCCGTGGAGGTGCCTCGGGTCTGCTTCTCCGTCCTGGTGACATTGCTGCCATGTACGGTCACATTGTTGTCTTAACAGTGATCTTTCATGTGGCTTAGGAAGGGAAACAGAAGGTCTTCCCTTCCCTCTGTGCCTCCCTGAGGCTGCCTTTCTGGTGTGGACCACCTCTGGCCTGCCGACGTGCCCCCTGGGGAACTCCCCAGTTCCTAAGGATAGATGCTCTCCGTTGGTGCTCTGAGGAAGTCTCACTTTCCTTTGCATGGGAAGGGTGACGTCCCTGGATTCAGGACTCCAGGCCAGTGCCTTTTCTTTGGATGCTTGGAGCCTCTCCATGCTCTTCTTTCTTGCGTATCCATGACAGGAAGTCTGATGCAGCTCTTTGCTTTGCATTAAGCAGGATCTCCCCCGGCTTCTCTCAGGACTGTTCTCAGTGGCCCTCTGCAGGTGGATGTGCTGGGCCAGGCGTGGGCAGGCTCYGGTTCATCCCGCAGGGTGCTCTCTGGGCTTCTTGGATCCGTGGTTTGGTGTCTCACTAATTTTAGAAAATTCTGAGCCATTGTTGGGGCTTGGCTCACCTCTGGATTTGGGGTCGTGACAGCCTTTCGTCCCCTCTCTGGTGGCCCAGAAGAGTCGTGGCTCCTGCATCTGCTCCTCCTTTTCCAGCTGTGAGTGTGGGAGGGGCAGAGCCACAGGCTGTTGACCCTGTTTCTTTGCGGGGTCGTTCACTTACGCAATCTTGATGCCAGTGTCTTGTCGGGGGTCTGCAGTCTGGCGCTCGGCTCTGCGGCCCTCTTCTGACGGYGTCACCGGGCAGGACTCCTTTCCATTCTGCTGCTGTCTGTTGTCCCGTGTCTTTCTTTTTTGTTTTTCCTGTGCTTTGCCACATCGAGGAAGCATCACCTAAAGTCATGACGATTTCCTTCCCTGTCCTCCCCCAAGCCCATTTTGAGCTGTGTGGTGCCCYGTGAGGTCCTGCGGTGCCCCTCTGCCCGGGGACTTCCAGCCATCCAGCCCCACTTGCCGACAGGCGGTTCTCCCCACTGAGCTGCTTGGCAGTGTGTTCAGAGGCCAGCCGACTGTAAGGGCAGGTTTGCCTGTGGACACACGGCTCTGCCCTGTGGGTCTGCATGTCCCCGCGTGCCTGCACACCCGTCTTGACACGGCGCCTGTGGACTCAGTGCTGAATTGGGAAGCCACTCTCCGCCTTTGTTCTTTTTCAAGATTAATAGCCTGTTCTGGGTCCCTGGCGTTTCCAGCACATCCTGAGAGGTATGGAAGCTTCCTCTGAGCTTCTTAGCAAGTCTGTTACAGAATTAGGGGCCACAGCCTGTCTAGTACCACGGGAAACATCTGGGGTCTCTACTGCGTCTGGGCATGATGTCCACAGATGTGCACAGCCATGAGGATCTGTGTGCATGTGACTCACTCGGGAGGGGGCTCCGGCAGCTGTCGCTCAAGGAATGGGAGAAACTGGCGAGGGGTGGACGCCAGGCAGAGTCCTGTAGAGAGTGGCCTCAGCCTAGCCTGCTGCGGCCTCTGGGTGTGGATGTGATGCAGAGGTGGCCTGCTCTGGGGACCTGGTTGTCCTCAGCCCGACGCTGGCCAGCCACTTGTTAGGGGCCCTCCGGCCCTGTGTGTGTTGGCAAAGGGCTCTCCAGCTGGTCAGTGAAGAAGGACAGGTGTGGGCACTCAGGAGAGGCCCTGCAGAACCTGCCAGGAAGACGCTGCACAGGCTGCTGTCAAGTGCCTGGAGCGTCCTGAGAGGAGTGCTGTGGAGACAGGGCTGCTGGTGGCCGAGTGTCTGCCACAGCCCACCGTCACCACTCGGAGCCACCTGTTCTAGGAGCCTTCGGGGAGCATCTCCTTGGGCTTCTGGGGCCCTCTCTCTCTGCCCCGGAGAGCTGGGGTGTGCAGGTCCAGTGGGTGGTCCCCGCCCCCGCCCCCACAGGGCCTGCACTCAGGGCCGAGCGGCTGGCCCTGCTCCCGCGCCCTGGTTCTTCCCCGTCATGTCCCCCTCAGTGTCAGCCTCTCGCTGGCTCCTTCCTGCCCCACACCACACCTGAGACCTCGCCCAGAGGGGCCTGACCTCTGCAGGCGCGACTTCCTCAGAGCAGACTTGGTGCACCTGGGCACTTGTCATCAAAATGAGGCTGGGGGTGCCACATGGCGAGGTGCCTGGACTCCCGGGGCAGAAGCCCCCCCTTCTTGATGATGAAGGTCAGTCCTGTCAGGATGGTGCCTCYGCTGGGAGCCACCCCAGTCGCCCGCACGGTGCTCTGAGCAGCACTTCACAGGAGGAGCGGGCTCTAGAGATCTGCAGAGCACCCCGCCTTCAGCCCAGCAGCCTGCACCTGCTGCACATACTGCTGAGGGACCCCGAGACTGGTAGGGACCCCGGGGGGACTGGCTGAGCAACCGCAGGGCTCACGCCTACCACCCAGGTGTCCAGCCACGCGCTCAGAAGACGCTGCGCAGGACGGGGAAGGAGAGCTGCTTCCCAGGCCCCAAGACCCTGCCGCAGTGCCTGCTTCTCTCCTGCTGGAGGGAGGACTAGCAGTGACACCCCGAGGACCTCATCCTGGGTCCCTAAGAGTACTGGTAACGGAACATGCTCCTACGTGTCAGAGGGCTTGTCTCCCACGCTCCGGGGCACTGACTGACAAGCGCCCCGGGACCTGTCACTTCCTCCTGGCCGGCAGAGTGAGCGCGGTGCCACCGGGGGTATGAGGGGGAGCACCGTCTGGTGACTGAGGTTCTGGCTACTTTGTGACAGAACAGGGGCAAGAATCTGGAAGCACACTGTGGTCCTTGGGCGAATGCCGTGTCCCTGCCCCTGGCTGGCTGTGCAGGAAACAGTGGCCTCGGGTGCTGTCCCTGCCCGTCTCTGCTGGTGGGTGTGCCCTGGGCYGGCCACTGCAGGTGGGTCCACAGCTACCCAGGCCCACCCTCATGGCCCTCAGCCGTCTGGGTCATGCAGGGCCATGATGGGACCACCACCCTCTTGCCCTAAGGTGGAAAGACAGAACCAAGGCCAGAGTCTTCTCTGTCACTGCCCTGCTGACACCCACTTGGCTCCCCATCCAGGTCAGAGGTGGGCTCTGGAAAGGCGGGGTCCGGAGGTGTGGGAGCAGTTTYGGGGACGGCTGTCTAAGCTCTGTGGAGGGATGGCTGACGTGGAACTGGGCACAGTGGGTGTCGTTGACCTTGTGGCCCAGGTCTCCCAGTGAGGTAGTCTGCACCCCAGGCTCACCGTCCATCAGCTCTCGTCAGTCCCCTGGCATGTGATTCCAGGGCCCCCGTCGGCAGACTTCAGCACACAGTGCACCTCACTTGTCACCGTGCTGTACCCTGGGTCTCCAGAACGACCTCGGTAGCCGAGACGTCACCCTTGGCCATCATGGTCCCACTTCCCTCCTGTGAAGGCAGCTGTGTCGTGGGCCAGGGGCTGACGGGAGACAGGGCCGCCTGCAGCGGGGTCGCCTTGGCTGCCTTCAGCCCCTGGGAGACAGCGCAGTGGGTCTCTGGGCTGCTGGGCCCRGGCCAGGGGCTCTAGCTGAGCATGTGCTGGGGCCCTCTTCCACAGGCCTGCGAGCTCGCAGCCTCCTGGGTGCAGACATGGCTCCTGGGCATGCGCGGGGTGCCCAAGGCATGCCGTYGCTGTGACAGGGGGCCTTCCTAGAGGACCGCCAGTCCCCGTCATGGCTCAGGTCAGAGGTGGGGTAGGATCTGGAAAGGTGGCCYGTCCACCCTGGACCTGCATGTGCACACTGCATTCGTCTCTGACCCCGGGAACACGGGGCCCTGTGGCACATCTCCACAGACCCTGCTGCCACCCTGACCCATGGCCCGTGGGTGCCGTTGCCCACCTCGATCTGCAGGTTGAGGGCAGCCGCCTGCCTTCTGCTCTTGGGGCRTGTGGCCTCCCCCACAGTGTGACTGCATCTCCTGTCCTGTGCCCCTCCCCAGATCATTCCTGACCACCCCACTGAAGGGCGCACCCTGGGTCCCTACATGGAGTCGTGGTCTTCTGGATCTTTGCTCTTGAGCCTCCTGACCCTTCCCTTCAGCACTCTCTCAGGGTGACCTGGAACCACCAGGAGGGACCAGGCAGGTTTCCAAGAGCCGTCCCGCCCAGGTGGAAACCTGATCCTGCGCTTTTGCCAGGAAATGGATTGCCAGCCGTGGGAGAAAGTCCTCATCAGTAGCTGCCCCTAGCCAGCCTCCTGTTGCCCACCGGCAGCCCCCCGCAGGCTCCCAGGCCTGCTTTCCTGGCCTCCTGGTCCATGTTATCCAGGCCTCTTCAGCAAGTGCCTCTCTGACCTGAGCAGGCCCAGCACTGCCCCGCTGGCCATGCTGCTGGAGGGGCCAGCAGCAGACCCTGAGCAAGGCTGGGTGGCATGACCTCTCCGCTCTGCAGGGAGGGGTCTGCTCTTCCCCCAGGGTGAGGGGCCACCTGCAGGCTCGGCTTCACAGGGGAGTCAGGGTCAGTGATCTCTCCCAAGCTCAGGGACAGCTTCCCTGCAGGGCCTTGGCTGGACTCTGCAAGGCGTCCTGAGCAGGCTGGGCTCAGGCTGCGTGAGGCTGCTGCGGAGTGTGAGCGCCCCCTGCAGCACGAAGCGTCCCCCGGGGCCCGGGCCCCGGGCACCAGAGCTGCTGGGGGTGCCGCACCCACCGCCCTCCCTGCGGCTTCCGTCCACAGGAGAACGACTTCCTGCAAGACTGCCTCGATGCCATCCAGCAGGACTTCGTGATTTTCAACAGAGAGAAGTGAGTGGGGCCATTGAGGAGGCTGGGCAGTGCCCATGGCGGGAGAGGGGGAGGCCCCTGTTCAGGTTCCTCCGGGGGGACGGAGTTCCTGGGCACCTCGGGGTCAGCAGCCAGGGTCTMTTGGGGAGACRCTCAGCCTCTGCTCAGATCAGGCTGATGGCCTCCCGCTGGCCGCCAGGCCCTGCTGCTCAGTCTCTCCGGCACTCAGCCAACCTGCCTTGTCAGGTAGGAAGGGGGCAGAAAGGGCCCAGGTGGCTGATGGGGCAAGACAGGCCACACAGCTGGCAACCTGCCTCGGTGGAGGAAGGGAGGCTGAGGAAGGGAGGCTGGTGCAGCGAGACGCAGGGAGGGCTTCCTGCAGGAGGTGGCTCTGCACCAGGACAGCAGGATGTGCGGGACAGTGTGAGGCTGGCTGAGGACACTGGCCCGTCCTGGGGATCAGAGAACAGGAGAAGAAGGGGCTGTTCCAAAGTCGCTGACCCTAGACTGGGCACTAAGCCAGGCCTCCCTCCAGTTTCTGAGCGTCACGCAGTCAGGCAGAGCTGTCCCCAGGCTCCCTGCTGTGCCCAGCCCCCTGGTCGGGAGAGGCCCAGCACTGGCCCTGGGGTGCCCACACCATGTCCTGAGGAGCACATCCCTGCGTCCCCTCTCCAGGCTGAAGAGGAGCCAGGAACTCACCCATGAGCCTCTCCCGGCCCCGGAGACTGCAGCTACAGTGGAGGCCACGGCGGACAGCGAGGAGGAGCCCGTGGCCCTGCCGGCCTGCCGCTCCATCTGCCCCTCGGGCGGGAGCAGCTAAGCTGCCTGGGCAGAGAACTGGGGTCTTCAACTTTCAGGATGCTTTGGAGACTTGGCCCACCAGGGAGGGGGCAGCAGGCTGACGGCCAGGCCTGCCCTCAGCGCTGCCATGTGGGTGCCCGTCAAAGGTGGCAGTTGGACAAGGAGGGCTGGTGCCACCGGGGCCCCAGTTACCGCAGGGTGAAAGGCACGTGAACTGCCTGCTCGGCCCCTCTGCTGGACGGCAGGTCGAGAGGCCAGGGTGGTGCGAAGGCGGCTGGAGTCCCCGCTCTCCAGCCCCTAGTGGACCCAGCTGTACAGTCTCCTTTCCAGGCCCCGCTGCCCAGGCTGTGGGAGGGGCCGCGTTCGCTCCTTGCACACCAAGGGCAGGGCCTCAGGGGAGGGAGTGGGAGGAGAAGGGAAGGCAAGAATGTTTTCTAGATACACACTGTTCCGGCAATTTCTGCTGTTTCTGTATAGTTTTCACCTCTGAGAATTACAACGTAAGAACTTCTCTGTCCAGTGTTCTGTGTCCGGAACCCCAGGGGACCCACGCCTGCAGTCACGTGGAGAAGGCTGTGGACTGGGGCAGCGGGGTGAGGAGTGCACGGACAGCTCCTGCTGGGGCACAGCCTCCCCAGGCCTCAGGACCGTGGCATGCACACATCCTGGGGCCCCAGGGCTGGTGGTGGACACCGCCAGGTCAGGGTGAGGTGTGCACACATGCTGCCAGAGGCTGGAGAGTCTTGGGCAGCAAGTGTGGCCCCGGAGGGCTGGGCATCAGGGCTGGACCATGGGCCTCCAGGATAGGACGGCTGCCTGTCATGGTCACCAGTGTTCTGGAGTCAGACCAGGACTGGGTGAGCAGCCGCACCAGCCTCTCCTGTACTGGAGGAGGTGGGGCCCAGCTCCGTCCATCCAGCGCTCCATCTGCTGCATGGGCTTACTTTGGGGGAGAGATGCATGATCTATGGCCCTCGAAGGACAGCAGCCGCACCGGACACTGTGGCAAGTGTCTGAGTCTGCGCCTGCAGAGCACCTCTGCCCCAGCACACGCTGTCCCCCTGCCCGGCTGGGAGAGGACAAACTGGCTGTGCCAGGAGCAGAGCCGAAGCTTTGGGCCCTGCCATTCCTGGCCTGAGACCCATGGGAACTGACGGCGGGGCCTTCAGCAAGGTCAAGACCACAGACTCCACACGGTGTGCACACCAGAAGGGACACAGCGCCCAAGTCGCTACCAGAAAAGGAGAAGCAGCCCAGCCAGGTGGCCAGGCCCCAGGGTGGGCCCAGAGGAGGCCACGCTCTGGATGGACAGCCAGGGGGGTCAGATGTGCCAATGAGGAACGATTTTGAGGTTTTGTATCCACGCATAAACCCAAGAAAAGACGGGTGTCCAGTGCTCCACTCGTCACTGGGACTGTGGGCACACTGGCACAGTGGACATCAACCTGCAGGAGCGGGGGACTCTGGCTTTGAGGCCGCACCAATCAAATGTGTCTGGGCCACAGGAAGCCCAGGACAGACACTGAGCACAGGAGGGGCCTCTCCAGGGACCTGTGGGGACCAGCGCAGCTTCGGGTGGACCCTCGCTCAGACATGTGCTGATGGCCCCCAGGGACATGCCCTTGGTCAACACTAGAACTGATGTCTCAGGGGAAGAGGGTGGGCAGTGGGGGCACTGCTCCTGGGTGGGAATGCCGCACCTGGACTCCACAGTGGCATSATGTAATGAGAAACAGCCCGAGGCTGGGGGCTGACACAGCAGCACAGCAGTGCTAACTTCTAGAAGGTTCTGGATCAGAGCCCTGTGGCTGCTAGGCCTCAGCTCCATGTGCCCAAGCCTTCTGGGCAGCTTGGAGCTGGCCAATCAGAATGGGTGTCTTCCTGGGGCCAACATCCCTGCAGCCAGTGAGGAAGAGCCCCCCACCAGGCAGACCGTCCTGCCCGGTCCTGGAGTGGGCAGTGTGGGCGCAGTCCTGCCTGTCCTGGAGTGGGCAGTGTGGGCGCAGTCCTGCCTGTCCTGGAGTGGGCAGTGTGGGCGCAGCCTCAGCCAGCAGGAAGCCCAGGAAGGGCAGCAGAAGGCTCCCAGGTCCCCAGTCAGCCACTCGTGGGGCCTGGAGTGCGGGGGGCAGTGGAGGCTGTCCACACAGGAGCTTCTAACCCAGAGACGTCTTTAATCCACCCAACGAATCAGGCTCAGACGGCCACCTGCCATCCAGGGTGGTGGCATGCAGGTTCCTGGCTACGGTTCCTCACTCTACAAATCTGCTACTCTATGACCCTATGGAAGTACTCGTCCTGTAGTGAAAGGAGGGCATCTGAGCTAAAGGGTCGTGAAACTTCCTGGAAGGGCCCTGGGGAAGCTCAGGCTTGGTCCTTGAGGTGGGTACCAGTGAGTCCCTACGGGGGGAGCTGCCCCTGCTAGATTCCTGGTGGATCCCTGAAGTCACAGCAGCTCGAGAGGCCGAGGCTCCAGGCCTGTCCCCTACCTGTGCTGGGCGCACATCGTGACAGTCCCCTGGAAGGACGGCTGCACCTAGTGCCACGGGGGAGGTGGGAGTGCTGGGGACTTGGAAGAGCAGTGATCCCTACGGGAAGGAAGCGGTGGGCACCCGCCCAACCAGACTCCCAGCTCAGAGCCTGGGCTCCCAGCCCCAGCCACTACTCCACAGTGAGCACCTGGGGGTTTCAGCACCCTAGGGGGGGCCCTGCCTTCATGGGGGGCCACGCAGGCACTGGGTCACCTGGCATGTGGGCTAGGGGCCACCTGAGCTGTCACTGCCTCCTCTAGCTCCTGGTCCTGGCAGTGGGATCTCCCCAAATTCAGCCCTCTTGAAGGGGCTCCTCGCAGGGGGACCCGGGACCCCAAAGGAGAGCTTGGTTGAGGGGGAGGGGAAGGCAAGGTTGAGCACCTTTCAAAGTAACTTCTACAAAGGAAAGAGCTAACTGAGGTCAACGGCCCCCACACCAGCCGTCAGCGGGAGTGCCCCACTGGCTCGAGGGGCAAGGGGTCTAAGAGAGAGAGGTGATGTTGGAGCGTCCACCGGGGGGCGCCATGATCTTCTGGGCTGTGCGCCTGGCGATGTGATCGTCGGCCTGCGACCCTGAAGAGAGGGCAGGGGGCGCGTGTAAGGAGGGAGTGCAGGAGGCTCCTCTGTCCAAGGGGTGGGCAGGCAGAGCCCCCCACCCGCAGTCTGCTCTTCTCCCTGAGACCCCGTGGCCAGGCAGGCGCCGCCTCCTGAGGCCTTGAGGTCACACCCAAGGGCCCCGAGATCTCGAAGATCAGTGGGAGTCCCAGGCTGGCTCTGGGGAAGCCCACCGTGCCCTGCCCTCCTGAGGGCCCTGCCCTCCTGGGGGCCCTGCCCTCCTGGGGGCCCTGGAGGTGGGAGATGGCTGCCCTCAGCTCCTAGGCAGTGCTGGGTTCTGAGGGACCTCCCCTGATCTCACACACCCAGCAGTGACCCAGGACTGCCATCAGCTCCCCAAGCAGGAGGATGAGACAGGACATCAGGGCAGTTTGGCCCCCACCCAAGGGTGGGGAGAGGAGGACAGGGTCTGGCTTTGGTTTGCAGGGAGAGCTGGGGGCTCCAGGCTTCTGGAAGCAGCGCAGCTCACGTTGGCACTGCCCAGAGCCCTGGTGAGCCCTGCCAGGGAGTCCAGCGAGTGCCTGCACGCTGTGGACACAGGCCGACTCCTGACCCTGCAGCAGTGAGCCTGGGGCTGGCTGGGCTGGGGGAGATGGAACACAGGACACTGGAGTCCTCCGAGGGGCCTCCTCCCGTGGAGCCCCCACCCAGTGTGCTTGGTTCTGGGACAGAGGTTGGCCAGGAGAGGCTTCCCCAGCTGAGGTCCACAGACCTGTGCCCATCACCAGGGCCCTCACCAGGGCAAGTGTCTGCTGGCCCCACATCCCACACCAGGAGGCTCTGGGCAGCAGCTGCCCTGGTGCACAGGTGTGGGTGGGTGGTCCTGCAGCGGCTGCCCTGGTGCACAGGTGTGGTTGGGTGGTCCTGCAGCCTTCTGTGGGCTCGAAACCCTCCAGGCACAGTCCGAGGCCTGGTAGCTCCAGAGGGACTTCCTGCCCCCAGGACTTGCCCCACACCCCAGGCTCCACTCACCAGACAGGCTGAATCCCGACTGGTGCAGGTTGCGCACGGGGGGCACGGAGACCTTGCCTGGGCAGGATGCGCGGGCCTGGGTGCCACCTCCTGTCTTGGCAGGCACCATCACTTCATGGACTGGTCCATCATAGAGGCCCCGGGGCACACCRTGGATCTCTGCCAGCTAAGGGGTCAAGGGGCTGGGCATGAGGGGCTGCAATGGCCAAGCTGCTAGGGGAGGCACCCCCACTGAAGGGGTCTGCTCTGCACCCTGACTCCACCCAGCTCAGGAGGAGCCTGAGCCACGACCTCCTCACAGTGCCCCACGCCTGCGCACACTCACCCTCACAGCCACGTGTCCCCACACACCCCACAGGTCCCACACACCTGTGCACGTGCAGCATGGCCTGAGCTGCAGGAGTGTGCTCAGAGAGGGCCACTGCAGAGCTGGCATGAGGCCCCACTGTAGCCCAGGAGGCCCCTGTCCCCAAAGAAGCCCTGAGACAGAGGCTCTGGGTCCACAGTAGGACAGAGGACCAAATGCAGCCCCCACTGTCCTGGCTCTCCTCTCTCCAAATGGACTCTCCACAGAGTCCTGTGCAGCTCCTGCCAGGCTCCATCCTGACCCATCCCACCCCTCCGAAGTGTGTGCTCTGGGCCTAGRACCTTCTCCAGCTCAGACTCTGACAGTGGGGCGGTGCTCCGGGTGAGATGGGCAGCAGCCGCGTGGGGCCCGACAGTCCTGTCGGCAGGGACACCAGGGGAACCAGCGCCCAGCTCTGGCCTGGGAGACCAGCTTGCCGGTCCAGCCCCCAGGCCTCCTCTGAGTTCAGAACCTCCTCCTGCCGAACCCAAGCAGAGCTGGGGTAGAGTGAACCAGCGCRGTACTGTGTGCGCACGCGGAGGTGCGGCTCCTGAGCGTGGTGTCTGCGTTGCAGGTGCCTGCGGTGGTGTGTGGGTGTGTGCACGTGGGAAGCAYTGATGGCGGCCACAGAGCACGCCTCAGACACGGATGGTCATGGGCAAACATGGCCAATGACCATGGGAAGGGGGAAGGCCGGGGAAAGTACCACGACTTTTAGGCTCATACAAGACTACTGTGAAAACTGCGCCCCACTGTGGCCAGGGGAGAGATCCTGGGGGGGTCCGTGACAACAGCTTAGCAATAATTCACTCTTGGTGAGAAGGGTACACTGCCTCAGTTGGTAGCCATGTCTCTGTGACAGCAGTGGACTACCTGGGTGACAAAGTGCTGCTGCCTGCCATCAAGTGGTGAGCTGCGGCTGGCCGGGTGCGAGGGTCCCAGGCCACAGAAGGCCTGGCTGTCCCCACACCAGGCCCTGGTCCCCACACCATGTGCAGCCAACAGGCCCTGGGCCTGTGAAGGGCCCTMTCTGCTTTCCTGGTCCCTGGGGATCAGGGTCAGGCCAGCCAGGGGGCTCCCTGCTCCCTGGACAGAGGACCCCCAGGGTCAGGCCTTACCCTGTTGCGAGCTTTTATTCTCTTATAGACGAAGTCTGGAAATGTTTTCCGAGGAATGAAGCGGCCAGCCCCCGGGGTGACAAACAGGTTCCCGTCCTCCAGCACCACTCTGCCCTGACTTATGACCACGGAGGGGGCTCCTCGGCACTCGAATCCTTCAAAGATGTTGTACTCCACGTTCTGGGGAGAGATGCCCCGTCTGGCGCTCTGGCCCCTGGAGCACCCCCAGGCCCGCCAGCACCACAGGAGGCCTGCCTGGGCTGGTGCCAAGACCCCAGGGAGACGGCGCGAGGCTGACACCGCCGATGTCCTGGAAGAACGCCCCCAGCCCCCAGAGCGTCCCCGAGTCGCGTGGTCCTTGGAGGACAAAGGGGGCAGACGCAGCAGGCTCAGCTCAGCCTGCTCATCTGCACCACGGGACGGAGGCCAGCCACCCTCTCAGGCAGGAGCAGGGTGAGCACTGGACTGGGTGCAGGCACATGTTCCTGGGCAGCCAAGGCCGCTGAGGGCCGTGCTGCAGGCGGGGACCCTGTCCCCCCGCGGGCCTAGACAGAGAGGTCTTCCTTACCGAGCTGTGGCTCTTGGCAGACAGGATCTTCGAGGCCCTGGGGTTCCAGATCACCAGGTCAGCATCAGAGCCTACAGCCACGCGCCCCTTCCTTGGGTAAAAATTGAAGATTTTGGCAGCATTTGTACTGGTCACAGCAACAAATTCGTTCTCATCCATCTTCCCGGAGGCCTGAGAAGCAAGACAGCCAGCTGAGGGGCAGGGTGGGGTCTGCTCTCCAGGACACCCYGAGGGCCGAGGCGGTCAGGACCAGGAGGGTGTTCCGACCTAGGGAGAGCCCAGGACTGAGGCCCGCGGGGCAGGACTGGGCAGGGCAACAGAGGACAGGGCCCGCCCTCACTACCCTGTCTGTAAACAATGAACTCCTTAAAAATGCTTCAATTTTTAATTTAAAAACCCGTGTCAACAGGATGTCAGAATCAGCAGGAGGGTGATGCTGCCTGGAGCTCTGGGCACTGTACCCCAAGGTGGGACAGCATGTGGGGGCCCTGGAGGCAGGACTGGGACTGGGGATCCAACCTCGACTACGACACTGTTGGCTGTGGGGGCCCCTCAGTTCTGCTGACTGCCCCTCCCAGGGCCCACAACCCCAGGCCTGGACTCACCACGCATTTTTCCCAGACTACAGACATACGCTCCTCCACACCGTTGGTGCCCTCRGGGATCAGCGTGAAGTTATCTTTGCCAACAGCCTTCTGGGCAGTGGTGAAGGTGCAGTGGGCACTGCCCGTCACCTGGAGGTCCCCACTGGGAGCAAGCCAGGGTCAGAGGAGACAGGGTCAGGCTTCCCTGTGCTGGCAAGACTGGGTTGGCTCCAGCCCACCAGGTGGTGGATCCACAGGGTCTGAACTGGTGTCTCAGGGCAGGTCCTGTGGGAAGCCCCTGCTGGCCTGGGACTCTGCTCCTTCCCACTGCCTGGCTGCCCTGCAGGAGCCCAGGGCTCATGTGGAAGAGGCAAGGTGCACGGGCAGGGGCGGAGCCCGCGGGCTTCCTGGGCTTCCKCAGAGGGGCTGCTCACCTGGAGAGCAGGGAGGTGAGGTGGTCTGCAGTGGTGGGGTCCGGGTTGATAGGGGGTGAGGTGACAAATGCCGCAGCCTTCGCCCAGTTCTTGCTCCAGTAGTGTGTGCCGTCAGCGCCCAGGCTGGCAGCGATGGGCTCCCCAAACACAACCAATCCTGCAGCAAGCAAGGCCCGTGACAGGTGCCCGCCTGCCAGCCTGTACCCCCGGGGCAGGAGCACAGCATGGCCCTCGCACTGCTGCTGCCAACACCCCCAACCTCCCCTAGCTTTCCTGGCCAGGGGCAGCTTGTCTTCCCTTCTGTGGCCTCCGCCCTGGACAGGCCAGAGAGCAGTCCTGGGGGGCCCTTGGAACAGGAGTCTCCGCGGCTGACATGGGCTTTCTCCATACTCATGGTCTCTGCCAGGGGTCAGGTGGCCAGGCACTCCTGCTATTCACGAAGCCAAAGGAGCTTCATGCTCAGTGACCAGCTCATTGCCGGCCCAGCTTGGCCTTTTGGTACAGCGGYTGACCAGACCTGGGCCCCTGGCCAGGGCTCTGGCTCATAACTGGTGCAGCCCCCTCTGGTGAACAGAGGAGAAAAGGCAGGCTCAGAGGAGGGTGGGGTGCCTCAGAAGAGAGCCAGCCCTGCAGCCGTGGCTTCTTGGGGCAGCTGAGGTCCAGGCTAGCCCTTGCAGACCCCACTCACCCTGTGCCAGGAACAGCCTCACAGGTCCTCTCCCTTGTAAACAGACGGGGTTTCTGTTTCAACCCTTGGTGCAGAAAACAGGTCCAAGCACACACCCACCCTCTCAGAGCAGGTCCCAGAAACGAGTTCTCCGTGAGACTCGTGGGGATGGCAGAGGTGGGGACATGGGATGTCAGATCCCASGTCCTTCCTAAAGACACTCCTCTCCTCCCACCACCTCAGTCCTAGGCCCATCTGTGTCCTCTGCAGACCTCTGAGCTCAGCAGCCTTTGGTGGGGACCACTTGGTCCAGCCCCTGCTGAAGGCAGCTACAGGATCCCGCCTGCAGAGCAGGTGTGCCCACCAGTTGGCTGGGCATGCTGCGGGCAGGGAACACCCATCTCCTACATGGAGCCTGGCTCCTCTGACCCTAGCTGTCCCAGTGGGGACCTCAGGTGGCAGGTAGCACCCACTGAACCTGCAGCATGCATCTTGGCTCCTGGACGCACAGCAGATGCCCACGGTGGGGCTTTCCTGGGGCATCACTAGGAGCCTCCCCMAGACACACACACTCGGCTGGCTCTGCCTCTGGGGTGGGCAGCTGCTGCTCTAAGAAGGCTGGGGACTCTGGCCAAGCTCCACCCTTGTGGGGCGCCAGGGTGCCTGAATCTCCTTTGGACCGTGCCACGCGTGTAACCCGGGCAGGAGGTGTCCCATCAAGAGGAGGGCCAGGCCACGCTTCCTTCTGTCGGGCCTGCCCTCCTCCCCACCTGAGGGTCCTGGGGTTGGCCAGCAGGCATGCTCTGCCCCAGCATGCAGGGAAGCCAGGCCCACACTCACCCCTGCGCTTGGCTTGGGCGACCACATCAGCCGCACCCCTGCTCATCACCTTGGTGACATACAGTGGGCAGTTGGCCTGCTTGGCGATGGTGACAGCTCGGTACACAGCCTCGGCCTCCACCTGGGGTTGGGCAAGGGAGTGGGCACTCAGGCCACAAGAGGTCCCTGGGCCTTCCTGGCCAGTATGGGCTCTGGACTCCTGCTGATCTCCCATAGGACTTGGGGCCCCAGAGGCATCCTTGATGGGGAAGGGGCCCAGCCTGAGGCTCACTGGTCTGGCATCAGGGCTGCCCTGTGCATGCCCCAGGGTCTGACCCCACTGACTTCTAGGGCTGAGGTTAAGGCTGTGAGATGACAAGTGGTCATGGAAGGGGGTGGCATGTGCCTGGCAGGGGCCCAGGGCTGAGCTGATGTCCACGCAGGTGGTGCAGGCAGTTGGGGTGACGCACCCTCTGGGGCACAGATGCCGGCCACTCTCAGCAGGCACAGACTCACCTCCTCGGGGTGGCTGAGCACGTGGCCCTCGGGGCCGGTGATACCTCGCTCCAGCAGGCGCTTCTGCTCCTGAATAAATCAATAAGGTGCCTCGCTCCAGCCCCAAGGGGACCTGAGCCCTGGAACTGAAGTTCTTGGCCACAAGCCCTGCTCTCCAAGTGGAGTCCTGGCCCCAAGGCCTCCCAGAATACCCCAGCCATGAAGAAGTCATGGAGGAGGGGGTCTTGGGGGGTGCTGACTGGCAGGCCTGAGACACCCTGGCCCTGCCTGTCACACCGCATTCCCCCCACAAAGTAACTTGGGGTCAGCATGGGGGCAGGGGCCCTGCAAAGTCAGGGGGTGGACAACTGCTCTTCTGCCAGCCCTACCATCCTACAGGGACTACGCAGAGCATCGCTCCTGCACAGAGGACACAGATACCGACGGTGGCATCAACATAGGAGAAGCAGACCCCAGAATGAGACTCTCGACGTGGTGTGGTCCCTGACATCCTCTGCCTGCCCATGAGTGCACTGGGCAAACTCTTGACCCGAGACGGTCTCCTGATGGTGTGGCTGGCCTGGCCCCTGATGAACTCAAGGCTGGGTAGTGGAGGGGGCAGGGACCCCACCTGCTCCTCCGTGGGAATCACCACTGTTCTGACCAACTGGAGAGCAGGCAAGGTTGGCCCCTCCCAGAAGGTCTTTATGGAATATCAGTGAGGTGTGTGGAGTGCAGTGACCCCTTCTGAGGCCGAGGGCATGGCTGACCTGAGCTCTCTGAACCTCCCAGGCCCCCACTGCACTGGCATGTCTGATGCCTCAGCCAGAATCAGTGCTGACCCAACAGCTGGGTGTCCCCCCCACAGCCTCAGGCAGTCTGGGGTACGTGTGAAGGACAGGGCTGCCACGCCCCAGGGACCACGTGCTCCTATCTGCATGCCCTCCTCCTGGCCCGGCCCCTGCAGCACCTCCTCCACGATGTCCCCGTTCTCTGCGTGCACCTGGGCCACCGCTCCCAGGTCCCGGATGATGCTGAAGATCTCATACATCTGGGAAGAGAAGTGGAGGGGGTCCAGTGTCTGCCGGGCAGTGACCTGGGATACCCCTGCCTGTCTCCTTCTCCCACACCTGCCTTACCTGGCCGTCAGTACACTGGCACCTGTCCTTGTATGTCATGAAGACCAGGAAGGAGTTCACACCTGGAGGAGAGGCAGGAGGGGTCAGACGGCCTGGGAGGCCTCTGCTCCCCAGAGGGGACTGGGGCGGGGGGCTTCTCACAGGAGCACTGCAGCCGGCACAGCCACCCTGAGGGCATTTCCCCACCCACAAGCTGGGACGGGGGTTTGGGAAGCAGGGCTCCCCCAGGCTCAGAGGCAGGCGAGAACCCCACTCCCGTCTACAGACCTCATCGCCAGAAGGACCAGAGCCCTGGGAGGGCACTGCTGCCCGAGTGCCGCCTGTTCTAGGGGGAACCTCAGGGCCCCGTGGGGAGCGCTGAGCTCTCTGGTTTCCTGGGCAGCAAGAGTCCAGCCCTCTCCCAGGACCAGGGCCCTCATGGTCCCTCTGAGGCCAGAGGTAGCCCTGACCTGCCCAGCATCGAAACCCACAGAGCCTGCCCTTCCTCAACAGGACGGAAGTGCTGATATGATGGCCTGGTGTGCTGCAGGGAAACCAAGTCATCCAGTGCCATCGAGCCACCCTCCCAGTGACCTCGAGCGTGTGACCTGGGTGGGGCTTGGGGTCTGTCCCAGAGTATCTGACCTAGGCTGCCGGTCAGGATGAGCCCATCCCTGGAACACTGTCCAGGAACGGCAGACCATGGCCGGCACCTGGTGCCGCTCTGGCAGGGTGAGGGGCTCTGCTGGTGCCTGGTCTCCACCTGTGCTCGGGCATGCACTGCAGGCCTCCCAAGCCCAACGGAAGGCCAGCATGGACACAGAGCTGTGCCTGGAGCAAGGCCTCCAGACCACAGAGGACAACTGGCCAGCCTGGGCAGGGGAGCTCCAGAGGGCACAGTGTGAGGACCCTCAGTCTTTGGAAACTGGACACCCACAGGAGGTGCCTTTTACATGCTCTGCTCCTTCAGGGACAGTGGACAGGCAGCAGTATCTCCTGGGAATGTCAGAACCTGTGGCCTCCTGAGCTTGGCCAGGAGCTGGCACATCCTATGTCCTGGCCCATCCCAGGCCCTGAGCTATGGGCCCTGCTCAAAGCTCGACCATTAGAGATACATGACCACATTTCATTCACGTCGAGTTCACGATGGCACTCTGACTTGGTTTTAGCCTGAGGACTTTCTATGGAACAAAACCAACTCTAGCTCATGGACAGGTGTGTTTCAGCACAGAGAAAAATGATGAGACACAGATTTTAAAAGTCTCCTCCTGAAAGGACCAAAGGCCCTGGGGAAGTGTGTGTCTGCTGTCCTTCACCAGGGGTTTCTTTTCTAGGAACCGGGGGACTGAGCATGGCTTGACCACTGCCCCCTTCTGTGGGGAACAGGGCGACAGGAGGCCCTTGGCTGGGGAGGGGTCCTGGACTCGAGTTTAGCAGAGCTCCTTTGAGTGACTTCTCTGACTTCTGCTCCACTCCTGGACACCTGGTCTCGGGGCAGGGCAGCAGAGGCCATCAGGACACAGGGGTCAGGAGAGGCCTCCTCCCACCCAGCATGCAACCAGCCCACCACAGGAAAGCCCCGCTCCCCCACCGGACCCCGTGGTCCCAGGCCATGGGAGCGCTGCTCACCCTTGTCCCTGACCAGGGCCTCCAGCTCCTCCTTGGTGCTCTCGTGCCAGCGGGGCACGTCCACATGCAGAGAGTAGTCACAGCAGGCTGTGCTGTCCGCCCACTCCCGCCACTGCTCGTAGGCTGCCAGCAGGCTCACCCCCGTGTCCGGGAACACGTGGTCCACTGCAGGGACAGCAGAGTCGGCCCGGCTCCCCCACTGGTCGCCGGATCCTACCACCACCTCCAGGGGACATTTGGTCCCATGCTCCCAAGAGACCAGAGAGGGTTGAGGAAGATGCTGCCCCCAACCTGCACCCTGAGTTCCACATCCCCAGCTCCTCTCTGAGTAAGGCAGTGAGAGAGTCCAAACCACCCACTGCCCAGGAACCTGCTGCACCCCAAGAACCAGGGGCTCTGCCCAGCCTCCACACAGGTGAGCTTCCCTGGGCCCGCAGCAGGGCACTGTCCGTGGTCCTGGCTCCGCGTGCTGCAGCCTGCCCCTGGAGCCCTGCAGCCCTCCCTGGCCCATGCACTTCAGTGACGCCTCCCAGCCTGCACACAGGGCTGTGCTGCCTCCCACCAGAGCACTGCCCACCAGGGGCCACTCCTGGGATGTCAGGTGGAGGGACTGGGGCCGCCAGACAGGAAGACCCACCCTGGGCAGGCGAGAGCTCTGCCTCCACCCTGCACGCCTTTCACCTGGGGCTGCGCACGTCCTCCACCCTGCACAGCCCTCAGACCACAGCCGGGACCCCTGGAGGTGGCTGCCGCTCCCCACCTCAGCTCTCACTCCAGCCCCACACCTGCCCCAGCCTCTGCCAGTCTCTGTCAGATCACTGACCGGCTGTGGCTCCTTCCCTTTCTGACGGGCAAACCAGACCAAGCTGCTAGGGTGGCAATGGCTGCCTGTCACCCACCAAGTGCCAGGGTCCATAGGGTGCCCTCCCTGGCCGTGGCAGCAGCAGCATGCACCGTGCCACGCACACCAGGACCTGTGTGTCGACTCCTTCAACCCTCCCGCCCCCGAGGGTGTTCCTCCCCTGCTGCTCAGCTCAGGAGGGACGCGGGGCCAGGTTCCAGGGGGCTCCCCAGAGCACAGAACAGACGGCTGTGCCCGGCACCGCAGGGCCCATGGCTTCCAGGTCACATGGTGTGAGAACAGGCTGGGCGGAGGGCTGTTCCAGGCTCCTGACCTCACCACGTGCAAGTCCGCGGTGGCCCAGTGAATTCAACACACACGCTGTTGAACAGGGCTCCTCCCTGAGCTCAGGGGTCTCAGTGGGAGGGCACAAGGACCAGGGCCACACGGCACAACCCCTCCCCTGGTCCAAGACTTACAGGTTTTCCTAGCCCCCGTCACTGGCTTGCCACAAGCACCCCAGAAGCAGCAACTGGGCACATACCCATGTGCCAAGCACCCTCCTGAGCTGGCCAAGGTCAAATTACCCAGAATGGGAAACAGGAATGGCAGGAAGCACTCAAGGGTCCCCAGACTGCACCCAGGGGRGAAGACAGAACTGGGAAACCATAGCATGTAGCACACCTGCCGCAGCACATGGCCGCATGCGGCCCCAAGGGGCCCAGACACTCACGTATCATGGTGGTCCCTCCTGCCAGGGCTGCTTTGGTGCCTTGACAGAAGTCATCAGCCGGCGTCATGCCCAGGACAGGCATCTGCAGTCTCGTGTGGACATCGACTCCGCCAGGCAGGACCATGAGGCCATGGGCATCAATGGTTTTAATGCCCCCAGGGACAATGAGGTTTTCTCCAATTTGTCTGAGAGGGACAAGGAGAGACCATTTTGTTCATGGAGAGCCTGGTCAGAATCTGAAGGGGCCTGTGACAGTGCGGTGGCCTGGGCAGTGAGTGCTTGGGCTCCAGCCCTTGAGGACAAGGGCAGGACTCCGGCCACCCACCCCCAGCTTCTTAAATGCCAGAAGGAGCARAATCTCCCACCCAGTGGCCGGAGATGGGAAGTGCAGGGCCCTGCGCAGACGCTGTTCCCCTCTGGGTTTCTACTGCTGCCTTACTGGCCAGGGCTGAGCCACCTGACAGCTAKAGCAGAGGAATGGGTAGGCTGCTTGGTAAGCATCTATTAAGCACCTACTGTGAGCGTGACACCCTACTCAGTGCTGAGATAACACAAAGAAGCTGTTCTTGTCTCCCAAGGCCCAGTGACTGGCGAGACCATCACCCCCCAGGCCCGGTTCCAGGGAAAGGGGTTTGGGGAAAGAGGAAAGCGATGACATGGACCTCACCCAAAGGGAACTGCCTGGGTACCGTGCCAGCCATGCACACGGGACCAAGGAAGGTATTCTGAGCAGAAACTTACTTAATCAAACCGTCTTCCACATACAAATCAGCATAAAAGGACTGGTCGTCATTCACAATCTTCCCACCTTTGATCAGGAGGCGGTCACTCTAGTGGAGACAAAACACGGACACTTTTTCTCCAGACTGAGTCATTCAACATTTTCACTGGAGTTATGAAGGAAGCCGCTGGGCACAATGTGTAAACACAAAAACATGCTCAACCCCTGCACCTGTGCACTGTACCCCAGGACGGAGCGCTCAGAGGCGGCAGCCACACAGAGGCCACCCACACAGCCAGGCAGGGTCCAGCAGGCTGGTCTGCTGRAGCTCAGGGACACACCGGGACCTCCAGGACACAGCCTGTGCTGGTGAACACAGCAGGGCTCGGGTCACGTCCATCTTCAAATTGGTCCTCTGGGGGGAACCCCGGAGGCCTGCTCCCAGCTGCCCTCTTTCCCCTGTGCTGAGGAAGCTGGGCTGGGTCCCAAGAGAACGCTGCAGGCCGGCCGTGGGGCCGGGAGGTGGGGGGCAGAGCGGGACAGTGGCCGGGGTCCCACCCTGGAATGCTGCGGGGGAGGGGGGGACAGAGGAAGCCACAGTACACGTGTGCGAGACCCTCACCCTGCAACAGAGCACAAARAGGTGACACGACAGGGCGGGAGAGCAGAGGCAGGCTGCCTGGCGTGGCAGAGGCCTCCTGAGGCCTTCCTGGAGRCAATGCCGGGGTAGGTTCCAGGCCAGGAAGCACTCTGAGCAGGGAAGAGCTTGGTTCCTGTCAGACCCCCAGAGGACGGCAGCCTTGAGGGAGAGGAGCGAGGAGCCAGGGCAGACCCAGGGCAGGCGGGGCRGGGGCAGAGCTGCARAGTCCCRGGGCGGGCACTGGGGGTATGAGCAGCTCTGACCAGTCTGGTGGATGCTGCAAAGGGACGGCCTTGGCTGTGGTGGGAAGTGGACTGCGGTGTAAAACAGGTTCTGCCTGGTGTTTCTCAGGTGGTCCAGGTAGATGGGGTTATGGGTGCAGGGAGGAACAATGGACGCCAGGGGGCCTGGGAGTCAGAGGGCAGGACTTGCTGGTGGAAAGGCCATGGGAGTGAAGGGATGACCATGGTCTGGCCACCTGGAGGCACTCCAAGTGGGTGACCAAGTGCCAGCCAATGAGGCCTGAGTCCAAGGCTTGGCAGCCACAGAACCACTTCTAAGAATCCTACCATGTGGTCAGGGAGGAGGAGCTGGGCAGAAAGTGGGTGTCACTCGGGGGATTTTGCATGGTCATCAGAGGGGAGCACCTCACCGCCATGGCAGAGAGGACAGAATTACAGAGGAGGAACAGAGGACAAGGCACAGAAGGGCCAGAGTGGTGAGACCGCAGGGCTTTCCTTCCGGACCTTGCTGGGGCCTCAGCACCCCCTTGTGTGACGGGGAGAACCAGCTGCACTTAAAGCTGGCCGGGTCCACCATCGGTCTGAGGCCCGAGAGCCACCCGAGAGCAGGAAGAACAGCTCTGGGAGGCCAGGTCGAGGAGCACTGTTCTTACTGACACCTGGCTGGGCAGGACCTGCAGTGCCTGGCAGGATCTGCTGATGAAAGGTAAAACACTACCACAAAGTCCACAAAGGACAGGCAAACTATGCCGCAGGCCCAATCCAGCTGCTGCCTGTCCCGTACCTCCTGGAGGCACCAGTGGCACAAGTTGCATACTGGTTGAACAAAATCAAAACAATATTTTGTTGACTTGTAAAATATTTAGTTTTGTTAGAATACTGCCCAGGAATCGTCTCTTCCAGGGCTTCCCAGGTGTGACCGAAACCATGTGGTTCCCAGAGCTGAAGACACCRCCTGGCCCTCGGTAGAAGCAGCTGGCTAATCCCCTCCCCACCTCACCCTGCAGGCACTCTCGGCCCATCGGCACTGAGCACTAGCCTCAGTGGGAACCCATCACAGCCACCCGCTGTTGGACCCTTGTCATGACCCCACCCACCTCCTYATGGACCAACTCATTCTCTGCAAACCCTAAGAAGATCCAGGCAGAAAAGGGGAGAGTTGGGGCCAGGAGAGACCTATGATCTGGGGTTTCTGTTCATGTCTCCACTTTTCAGGCACCAGAACTTGGATTCTGGGGTCTTCTTTGGGCTTGGAGCCAACAGGAATGAGCTAAGCCGTGGTAGACACTCAGGATGCTCTACCAGGATGGGGGGAAACTGATGTGAACAGCCAGCCTCCTCCTAGGCACTGCTGCCTCACCACCTGGAGGGTCCACCTTGGTGCCCCCTGGCTGATGGGACTTCTTCCTCAGGCCTGGACCAGGTAGTGTGGGCAGTCCGAGGCAGGAGCCCTCCTGTTCAGTTGGAGGGGTGTGCAGAGGCTCCTTCCCCTTTGAGTTTCTCAGGAAGGAATGACACTTCTAAAAGCTGGTGGCCTACATGCCAGACTCCACCACCCTCCTGCTGAGGAGCAGCCCAGAGTTGGGTCTGAAGCCTTCTGGGGTCCAGAGGATCCCAGGAGCCTCTCTCCCGGCTCTCCTTCCGGGGCTCTGGCCTCCCACAGGGAGGCTTTGTTTCCTGGCAAGGCAGGGTGGACAGYTGGACCTCCTCCACAAGGTGCACCTGTGGGTGTGGGGAAGGGGGTCTGTCTTGCCAAAGGCTGGGGCTGCAGGGTGCGGTCGGTGGACAGCTCGCCTCTCTTGGAATCTCCAAGCTCGGCTTCCTGGAGGGGTTCAGGGGCCTCCAGGGGCTCCAGCAGCCACGGCTAAATCGCTTTGTTTTTCCACAAAGAGCTCTGGACGACACAGAGGCCAGTCCAGGGGGCCGGCGGCGGCCCGCGGGCTAAGCCAGGAACGGCATCCGCGCGACCGCGAGGCCCCGCGGTCAACAAAGGCCTCTTCCGCCAGCCGCCCAGAGAGCCCAGCTCTWGCTGCCCAGTCCGCCCACCTCGCCAGCCCGGCCCCGGGTAAGACAGCCTCCTTCAGCTTCCGGAGGCAGGCRCTCGCGGACCCGGGCTCTGCCCGAGCTCACTGGAGGCTCCGGAAAGCAGGCGGACCGGGCCTGCGCGCCCACTCAGCATCTGAGTCGGCGCGGCCTGGCGGGCACTCCAGTCTCCAGACGGGTCTAGCGCCAGCGCCCGGACTGAGCTCGCGCGGGGGCGGACCCACAGGCAGGACCCAGAGGGTCCGCCCCGCAAACAGGCCCATTCTGGGGGCTCCTAGCGAGGCGGGGGCCGGAGCCGGGCTCACCGTGATCCGGGGGATGCTCTTCTTGCCCTGGAAGGACATCCTGTTCTGCAGGCTGGCCCGATCCCTGGCAGGGGCAGCGCGAGCGTGGGCGAGCGAGCGGGGACACGCGCGGTGAACAGCGTGAGCGTGGGGCGCGGAGCCGCTGAGTGCGAGCGCGCGGGGCGCAGGGCTCCGGTCCCCGCCCCCGTCTCCGCCCCCGCAGCGGTGATTTTTGCATTTAGGCTCCGCCCCGACGCAGCTCATTTGTACTAAGGCCCCGCCCCGTGTCAGCTCCCCAACCTCCTGTCCCAGCGTACYCTGCCGCCACTGGCTCGGATCTTTGCACCTCGAACCCGAACCCGTGCGTGCTGAGGAGGAGGGCTGCGACCTGACCCTGACGTCGTGTACAGTTTGCACCCCGGGGACGGAGTGGGGGAGGTCGGGCAAAGTCCTGCCAGACCCCGCTCCTGGCCTGCCCCTTGGTGACTGCACCCTGGCTCCAGGGTTTAAACCAAATCTCGCCGCGGGATCCCGGAGTCCTGGAAGAGGTCTCTGACCAAAGCCAGCCTCCTCCGGGAGGACCTGGGCTGGAGCGCGAGCACAAGGCAGTGTCCGGACCTCAGGACCAGGCTGTGGAGAAGCCACCCTCGGGCTGTTCCACGAGCGGCCGCGCGAAGCGGGTCGGGAGAGACGCGGACAGATAAAGAGTGCGGCACAGAGAGGCCCAGAAGGACTGGGGACCAGGAGGTGAGGCCGGGTGGGGGGTCGCAGGATGAAGTCCAGGCCCCGAGGGGGAGGGGGAGGGGGAGGGGGAGGATGAGCTCCAGGCCCACGCTGTCAGTGTGACTGTGAGGCGTCTCACGGAGTCGTGGCCCGCATCCCACCCGCACGGACCCCTCAGCTTGGGACTGAGTCCTGCAGCCTCTACCTGCGAAGGGCTGCCGGCCTGGGCCACGGCTACCRGGTCCTCTACACCTGGCCCGCCGGGTCTCTCCGAGTGGCCACGTGTCTCACGGTGAGGATCCTTGGCCCGAGAGCTCTGGTGAGGGTCCCGAAGAGAGTCCAGGGGCAGCGTCTTGTTCTCCAAGGCATCCTCCACACAACGGAAGACGCCGCTGAACTTGGGCCTGGCTGGAAGCTTAGCAGGCCGGTGCGGACGCGGTGCGGTCGTGGCAGCCGTGGGCGCCAGCCAGCCAGGTAGCCTAGTCCCTTGCGGGAGGTCTGCGGTGCACGTGGACTGGCCTGGCTGGTGGCCTCCTCTTCTCCCCGCCCACCACGTCCCCCCAGCCCCGCAGCCGGGCCGTGTGGAGCTGACGCTGTCCACACAGCGGGTGCTGAACACCAGCGCCTGGTCCGGGAAGTGGCTTGCCCTCGCCCTCAGGGCATAGGTGGGCTCGGACTTCCACTCCACACGCTGGAGGCTGGAGGCGCAGTGGTGGGGAGCGCACATAGGAGAAGCCGCTGTCCACAGGAATACCCGCCACTCTCCAGACCCCTCGTGAGAGCTCACACCGGCCAAGGAGGTCTTGACTTCCCATCACCCACAGGTGGACCCTCTGGGGATCCCCGCGCGCAGAAGCAGCTCCAGACCTCCCTTAACCAAGTAGAGGATTTGTTTGAGACCAGGCGGAGGTGCCCTCCTCCCGCCCAGAGATCACAGGGAGAGGCCTTATTCTATGGAGCTGGCTGCGACTGATTTGGAATGAAAGGACCCCAGCCTTTCAGCTGTCGGTACAGCGCGCACTTCAGAGCGAATTCGCACAGAGTTACTGCGGCGCTGGTTATGGCCGCTGACACACGCACGTCAGGAAGCCGAGCCCAACACCTTCCCTCAGACCCTTGTTCTACTCTGGAATTCCACCCCCCAAACCAATCGATAAAACCTCCTTCACTCACAGGTGTGCGTCCCCCAGTGAGCATCCCACCTTCTCTTACTCACAAGCCGGCATCCTTTCCCTGGTCTAAAGTTACTTGAATTCTTTTTTCTGGTTCGCATTTGACAGGTGCCACCAGGTACCTCTGGTTACAGAGGTGCTCCCCTCAGGTGCCTTTAGATTCTGAGGATGAAATTGCAGGTAAGGCCCGTGTCCCCTCCTCAGAGCGCTGAAGGCCCAGATCCCTTTCTGGTGGGGAAAGAGGCTTTTTCCCCCCCAGAGGTTGGACACAGAAATGCAGAAATGGCTAATATAGCCCATAAACTCAAATTTTAATAATCCATAGGGGGACTTTGATATTCTAAGATTTAAAACAATTTTTATTAAAACTGTACAATAATTTACAAAGGAGTAAAAATTCTCTGGTATATATCATAGGAATCACAATACAAAAATATGTGTAAAATTTTGTAGTTGATCACCATACAAACCTAGTTTAGGCCTGTGAATATTGTTTAGCACTGAACAGAAATCACATGTTTAGAATGTGGTTATTAAGTAATTGCTTCAGAGAGCACAAATACTAACTGGCTTTTTGCCATGAGAAAACAAGTCTTGTTCATTTTTGCATAAATTTACAATAAAGCTTTTTAAAAAATATACAGTAAACAAATATATGCTTTGATACATATATTCACAATATGATTTTCCTGAGCCTGAACTTAAATTCATTACTGTGTTAAAACACACAACCCATCTCGAGGTTTCAGTGATGGAGTGATGGTAAGTGCTAATCAGCTCTCCAAGCCTCAAAGCCACCCTCACATCCCCACCCCAACTCCCAGTCCGTGTTTACAAGCTGCATAAGGCACTCAGGTTTCCTGACGGCTACAGATTCTGCAAGGGCAAAGGCCTTGAGACACAGCCCAAGGCCTTCGGCCACTGGAGCCTAGACCATGGGCGCAAGGCCAACACCACAGGGCCTCCACCAGGGAATCTGCAGCCTACATGAATTTCCATTTTAGGTAAACCAGACACTTGCATCACTCTGCTGTGCACACCGCGCGCTGGGCTGGTAACTGCTACTGGACTGTGATGTGGATGTCCCTGTCTCGGTGACGTGGTCAGCAATCCTGCCAGCATTTCATGATCTCTCCTCCTGCCTCCTCAGGCAGTGCCACTTAGGCAGATCTCTCCTGTGAGGAGCTACCAGGAAGAGCCCGAATGCTCAAGGAAGTTCAGTCCAGCCCACTATTTGGAATAGCAGGTACAATGTGGGATTTAGAAAATGTGCACCTTACTTTAAAACACTTGAACTCTTCAGACGCTCATTGGCCCAGCAGAATCAGTGATAAATGCTAATATTTTCCTTTTTTTTTTTTTGGCAAAAGCCCAGTTCTGATTTTGTAATCAGATGAAGAGAAAGTGCCTATGACATATGAATGGGAATAATGGTATCTAAAGAGAGGAATGACAGTCCTAGTGTGTGCTTTTAGGCGTGTGGCAGGGGTGCCGCTGCAGTTTGGTACATGGGTGTTATTTAAGACATTCAGCAGCCATTTTCCTTTCCTATGTACATACTTTTACATATAAACAATAACAACTTCATAAGCATTTGTACATATTTACATGCATTTCCTTCCTGTATAGTTAGCCTTTAAAAAAAATTACAGAACTGTGATTTAGAGCATCCGGGTTGGTGGGAGGGTTTACGAAGCCTTCAGACCTCTACCCAACATGCAAATCATGATGATCTCATCAATCCAGAGGGATTTGAATTTGGGCAAGTCTGAGAGTACATCTGTAGATCCTAGTCAGCTGGTGTTCTCTTGCAGGTACACACTGGACCGGGCCCAGGAGCTCCTCCTGCAGAGGAGGCCAGGCTGGGGGAGCCAAGTGCAGTGACCTGTTTGTAGAAGCCCGCATGGTGGAGTCCTCCAGACCTAACCCCACGCTCATCCATGGCTCTGTGGCAGCTTTTATTAATACAGGCTATTGTTTGCCATTCAGTTCTGAGTACAATAAATGTGCCAAGAGGGTGCAGTCTTTAAAATGAGACCAAACCATGCATGGAGGGATGAATGAGATCCCAGACTGGAGACAATCCCTGACATCAGGCTCACCTAGGGAGGCACCCAACTGGGCCAGCACCTTGGCCAAGTGAGTCAGGAGCTATGACTTGAATGACGCAGAAAGGATGGGTCCTTTGTGGATGAGTGTAGTTAATATTGTTTTTCCCAGCAGAAATTCTGCACCCACCAAAAAAAAAAAAAAAAAAAAAAGCATATCTGTCTGCTCCGATAAGCTTTCCCTGGTTTCCACTTAGGGAACCAGGCCGGTCCTCCAGCACTCGGCCATCGGCACCAGAGCGGAAGACTTCTTCTGACATCAACACAGAATGAACCTAACGCTTTCAGACAACACGGCCATTCCTCCCTCCAGCTAGTGGCTTTTAAAAGAATTTTAATGCAATGCTGCATGTTGCATGCACACCTGGCTGCGTACCTCACTCCTGGGCATCAGCCTCTAGGTGCTCAAAGGGCTCACATCCCAGCGCCATGCTCTGGTGGAGTGAGCACATGCACGTACCCTCACACACAGCTCTTCTCTCAGCTCTAGAGATGGTGACCTTGGACTGCCACGGATGGGATGGCAACAGGACTGCCTCCGACCAGAGAGTCAACTCGTCCACATGCTGCACTTCTGGGCTGTGGATGGGATCACAGCAGGACCGGAAACCACTTAGAGCTGCCTTCATCAACACGCTGTCTTCTCTCTGGAAGAGTGCACATGAGTGTCCTCTCAGTTACCGTGTCTGGGGCACGCTGGGGCAGCACTGGGTGGGGCAGCACTGGGTGGGGCACGCTGGGGCAGCACTGGGTGGGGCGGCACTGGGTGGGGCGGTACTGGGTGGGGCGGGCAGGAGGAGCACCAGGGGGAGGCTCTGATCAGCCTGGCCCTGCCCGTGGACAGTGAGGTGCCCCGGGTGCTGGCTGTAGGAACAGCACAGCTGTGGTGTCAGAGCAGGAGCCTCCAGCCAGGAGAGGCCATGGCTCTTCCAGAGCATYGCATGCTCACACCCGAGGCTCTGCTCTTCAGGAAGCGGCCTGCAGCCGTGGTCCTGGTGGCCAGGAGAGCCACCTGCACTTCCACCCGTTTCATTGCTTCTCATCACTTAGAAAGGGG